AAAAATCATGCAAAGAAGGGTTAAATCAAAATGCAATTGACTTTTCACGCTTAACTTACGTTTCATTGTTTTTTTTTCCTTGTCTTTTTTTTTTCTTTTGTGTAATTAACTTCAAGTTAATTTGTTTCAATTAATAATAATTCGTACAGGATTATTATTAGTAGTATTCGAAAAAAACTTGTGTGTGATTTGTTTTTCAAAGATTTTTTTGATTCGCTTTAAGGAAAAAGAATTTGACCGCATTGTGCCAGTCGTGTTTCTATTTCTCGCTAATTGGTATTAAGACAATTAGCGTGATCGCGTACACAAGAGAGAGAGAGAGAGAGAGAGAGAGAGAGAGAGAGAGAGAGAGAGAGAGAGAGAGGCTTAATTACGCGTCAAGACAAAATAAGAATAGTCCTTGATAGTGTGTAAGATATCCATCTAAAGAAAAGATTTCTTAGTTGAATGCGAATCGTTTGAACAATTTCCACGAAAATCATTCTCTTTACCTTTCTACACTACGACGAATTCCAACTCACGAAATTATGGTGGTGGTTTACGAGATGCCAACTCGAAATGCCGTAACGGTTGGTATGTACTACCGTGCTAGATTTTAATGAAAGGAACGGACGGAACATTGACTAATTGCGTAAACATAATACTCGTAGTATTATATCGTCTATTTAGTGTTAATACAAAATAATACAGAGAATTCGATCACAAACATTTCTTCTTCTTCTTCTTCTTCTTATCCGTTTTACGAAATAATTTAGTTGTAAATTAAATTCAACTGTGTTCGAGAGTTGATTGAAAGGTTTTCGCATCTCACATCAATAAAACAAAAGCTTGTAAATATTTTTTAATTTTTTTCTTTTTTAAATAAAAGTAAGCTCGAAGAGAATAAATTGTTTTTACGTTTGACACGAAAACTTTGAAAACTCTTCATCCATTCATGTATTATTTTTAAATACGTATAGTAATATCATATAGTCTTTTCTTTTCTCTTAATTTAATTTTATTTTATTTTATTTTGTTCTTTAATGGAGAAATAATTCTAGTTCGTTAAATTCTTAATCTCGATGCAATCGCGACGAGAGTCAACGAAATAGCTCGAGGCTTGAGAAAAAGTTTCTCTTCTCATTCTTTTGAAATATTTGCCCCCGAGGAACAACTGTACGGCACTGTATAATTTGTTTTCACAGAATAACGATCAATCAAAATATTAACAGCATTGTCGAATATTTTAACGACGGTAGTAGTAATAATATTGAAATGATAGTAAGAAAATGTTTTATACACTTAATCCTATTCTATAATTATACATACCTCTGTATTACGTTAGAGAAATCGTCATATGTGGTTTAGATTTAACATAAATTATCTTACCGATCAAAAGTTTGGATCTACATTACTGAGTTTACATTTCACGGTTTATTAACGAATTATAAGTTCTATTTTTGTTATTATTTTTTTCATTCTTGCACGTGTTCTCGTATCAGGGTTTCTCAAATTTGTCCACTTATATCGATCACCCTTTTAATCGTGCTGGATAGTATTATAGATTCTTCACTATTATAAACTCGCGGTCATGTTTATACCATGTAACGTTGCTAAATGAATTTTCGATTAGTTTAGGAATTTGTAAATTTTGCTAATATTTATGCTACCAACCTCGTACGTGGTTATCAGTTACAATAAAGTTAAACTACTTTACCGTTATGAAAATTTGTCAAATTTCGTAACAATATTATCTTAAAGATTGTTGTTTAGATTCTCCTCCCCTTCCTCCTCATTTTATTAGGACTTTGTCCTGTTACAATAGCTTTTTTTTATTACTATTTCTAAAAGCGATTTATTATTAGGTTTTCTTTTCGTTTATTATTAATAATATTAACGAATATATATTTGATATGTTTTTATAGCCGTGCGACGTTTGGTCTATGGGAGTGACACTTTATTCATTGGTGACCGGAAAAGTACCATGGGACGGTGCGGGAAGTATAATTGGCGTACAAGATGCTATTCGTACGGAGCCATTAAAATTTCCAGAAAGACCAAAGCTCTCACAGGATTTACGCGATCTCATAGAAAGGATGTTGGCCAAACGACCAAACGATAGAATATCTTTGCAATGTTTGAAGGAACACGTTTGGTTGACGAATACTGGGAAAGATCCATTACCTAGCGAAGCGGACAATTGTAGATTACAAGTTACGGTTACGGACGAGGAAGTAGAAAGGGTTGTCACCAAAATACCAAAGCTGGATACTTTGATTCTCGTTAAGAAAATGCTCAAACAACACAGTTTTCAAGTAAGTACAAAATCAATTGAAAAATCGTATACACACAACGTTACAAATTTTAAACGATTATAAGAAATATAATATCTCGATTAAATTGAAAAATAAAACAGTAAATTTGACCGATAAAAAAAAAATCACAAACAAAATGGTTTCTACGTTAGGCACAAAATTTGATCCAACTCATCTATAAATTGCAGTTTGTAAATTAGAATTATGTAACTAATCCTGATTCGCGTTGGTCGTATTTCATTTCGTAGAAAGGAAAGGATGTTCAACGTGTCGTCATATTTCTAAGACAATAAAGCTCACATCTGTATATTTATATATATATATATATTTATCATTCGAAGGATCATTACGAGCTCGAGTTAAAGTACACACAACAACATTCAGTTGTGTATTGTTGTTTATTCTATACGCATATTATTCATGCGAAAGCACCGTCTCGAAAATGTTCTCTCTTACCTATCTTATTTCAAAGAAACTTTTCTCTCTCTCTCTCTCATACACACACACACACGTTTTCTCTTTTTTTTCCGTCAGTGCTTTATCCTGATATTCGGTTGATATAACATTTCGTATATTATCATTCTCCGTTCGTCGAGTCTCATACTTCCTCTTGTATATCCCCCGTAACTCGCTCGTAACTCGCTTTGAAATTCGATTGCACGTTTAGGGATGCGGTATATCGTGACCGCAATATGTGCGGATACGTAATCCAGCTCTATTGTACATACGATATCGGCCATCGTGCTTTTATACGTTTATTAGAATGGATAAAGTGATGAAACAATATAAGAAGACATCCTATGGCCATTTTGATAGATCATCTAACTCAGCTCAAAGGAATATCTCGAGTATACACACGTATATATCGTTTCTTTCATATTTTACATGTCTCTAGAAAATTTTTCTTTATTATTTAAACGCTTATAATTAGAAGAAGAAGAAGAAATAAAAAAAATATATAAAAACAAAGAAAAGAAAAAAAAATCTAATGGATAAAAACGACGAGGCAAAATTTTGAATCCGTTTTTATAAAATAAACGACAGAAAATAAGAACAGGTAGTTGAAGTTTCCTTGCATTCGTTAGCGATCTCAAAGAATTAACTTTCTCTATGTGTGTATGTATGTACATGTGTGTGCGCGTGTGTTTCTTATTTTTTCTACCTCCGAGCGGAAACTTGTCAACTCCTGGGTTAAAGTTAAAAAGTCATTTCGTCTTGACCTTTTTCTTTTTCTCCTGATGTTTCTTAGGATATCTAAGAATTGCATTGAATTTCAATTACGTAAACTACCTTGATCTTCTCGTCTTCGCTTAAAGACATTTCCTTCCCCTTTCTCCCTTTCTCTCTTTCTCTCTCTCTTTCATTCATCTTCTTTCATTTTGTTATTTCCTTTCTCTTTTTTTATTATTATTATTATTTTTTTTTTTCTTTAGAAAATAACAAAGCTTATCAATTTTTCCTATCTAGTTAAAATAGATCGTTACGAGATTGAAGTCAAGTTGAAACGATCCTTAACGATTTCGTTGAATTTTATAGTCATTAATGTTAATGATCCTCATTAGCATTATATTAGAATGAGAATTGTTGTTTTCTAATTGTTTTGCCTGAAGATAGGCAACACTCCAGACATCATCGATAATGTTGTTTGCTAATGCCATCTATCGGGAAGAAATTTTGCTAGTGCATCCTGCAAGAAGTAATATTGTATTAATAAAAAACATTTTCTACGTTATCGACCTAGTACAGTGGGTTGTCTGATTTCAGGCGCAATTTATTAATAAATTACAATATATTTCCAATATATATATATAAAATTAAATATTAAAATTTAAATATAAAAGTAAATTAATTTTTTAGAAAATTCGCGTTTTATTAAAGATTTCGTAATACTAGTTAAATATAGAAAACTTTAATTTATTAATTCTTAATCCTGTACCATATTTTTGGTTATATAAAATGCGAGTGCTGACATATCCAACTTGGCATAGATGTCAAGACTATGCAAAATCCTCGTATAAAGCATTTGCCGTAAGTACGGTTGCCGAGAGAGAAAAAATAAAGAGAGAGAGAGAGAGAGAGAGATAAATAGAGGTGGATAAAAAGAAATGAAGAGAAAGAGAGAGAGAAATAGAAAACGCACACGTGAAGAAGGATTTAAAGGGGTCGGATTCATTCGTAGAGCTAAACGTGAGAGGAAAAGAGACAGAAGAATTGATATATGTAGTCGAACAAATGCGTTCTCGTTTCACCTAAGTTCTGGGACAAAAAAAAAAAAGAGAAGTAAAGAATGAAGAATGGGGAAAAAAAAGTAAAGGAGGAAGGAAGGCAAAAAATGTGTCAGAATAAAATAAAGAGAACAACAAAAATTTGGATGGGGGAGGGTGGGAGAGTGAACTAATTTATTTGTTTTAATTTTCATTGCAGAATCCATTTCTACCGAAAAGAACATCTGGCAGAATTTCTGGGGGAAACGAAGGGGGGGATCACGCGACGGAGGAATCATCTCTACCTTTGGAAGGAACTGCAGAATCTTTGATCCAACGTGCAACTACTTCGAGGAATATTAAATCCGAAAGATTTCAGAGATCTGGTAGAAGTAATTCAGCACCGGATTCGTACGATTGGCAGGCGAACAACAGGTGAAACATATTGAAATACATTTTCCTATTTTTTTTTCTTTTTTTTTCCTTTTCGATTCGTCGAATGAAACAAAATATAAATTGCGTTGAATAAATTGAACGAGCTTTTTAGTTTAAAAAAAAAGAAACGAATGACTGAAAAAATATGAGTTTCGAAGAAAAGAAAAGTTAAAAAAAAAAAAAAAAGAAAAAAAAAGAAAGGATAAGACATAGAGCAATCGCATTCAGTGTTTGAAGTTTGTAGAAAGTGGTGGTGGAGATTTAATCATCGATTTTATATATTCAGCGTTATCAATCATATAGTGATAATTATCCTTCAGGCAAATATCAATGGAGAGTCCTCTGCCCCCAGTGACGGAAGCGTCGAATCAAGAAGCAGAAATCGAAAAGCGGTGATACGTTCGTCAGTAAATCCGTCGATCGAATTAATTAATTAATTAATTAATTAAAAGCAGCAGCTGTATGTGTGTTTGTGAGTGTGTGTGACAAGAGGTCGACGAAAACAAATGTCGATACGATACGAATCAACGAAAATCAATCATTCTTCCACGTTATTAATTATCATCGTCGATCTCTATCTCGCGTTGTCTTTTTCTCTTTTTTCTTTTTAATTTTTATTTTTTTTTTTCTTCCATTTCGATTAATAATAAGAAAACAAAAAAAGAAAAAATGTTCAACTGGAGAATTCGGTGCACAACATGAGATGAACGTTTTCTTATGACGGGTGAGGGAAAAAGAAAACAACAAACAAACAAACAAACAAACAATCCGTTTGTAACGAATTAGTTCGTAATTGTTAGTTTTAGTTGCATCGTTTCGTAAAAAATTGGTTTCACGGGAAACTATTGCATTGAACAACCCATATATATATATATATATATATATACATATATGAGTCGTTAAACGAGAAATGAGATTAAAATAATTAATTAATTAATTAATAAAAACAAACCAGAGATAGTGATATCTCGAATGATCGAAAAGTTTCTTCCGCGAGTTATAGTTTTGACGTATATAAAATAAATAAAAAAAAAAAAAGAAAAGAAAAAAGAAAAGTAAAAAAAAAAAGGACGATCAATGCGAGTTCATTAAAAATGAATTGATTGAATAATTAAATAAATTTCGTCGAGATATAGGAAGACGCGCGTTATTGCTATGCAATCTTTAGAAAGTAGAAGATATTCTTGAATAATAATAACACTCGATTATAAAATATTTCATTTACAAATCCGGTCCGATGCCGGTTAAAATGACGATGTTTTAAATGATGTCGCAAAAAAAAAACAAAAAAAAAAAAGAAAGAAGAAGAAGAAGAAGAAGAAGTAGCAACGAACATGACAATTTATTAACGAATATTAAATCTCGATCGGTTTGTATAAAATATCTCATCAGCTCTATCGGAAATTAATTAAAACCTTTCTCTTTTTTCGTTTTCGATAAAAAAAAAATAAAAAAAAAAACACAAAAAATGAGCTTCGAACGTTGTCGGTTGGATATTACCTACCGTGCCAAAAAAAAAGATAGATGGAATTAATAAGAATCATCGTTGTGGGTAAATATAACGAAGTGATTGGGGGATTCTCTTTGATTCAAAAAAAGTAAAAAAAAAAAAAAGAAGAAAAAAAAACAAAAGAATTCGATTGGCCGGATTTAGAATTTGCACGATACGAAATAGTACTGTGTTATTAGAGATTAACCCTTTCGCTACGGGAGTGTTCTCCGTGGAAGTGACGCTGCTGTACGGAGCACTGCGCCGCCAGAGTAGCGTCACTGTACGGAGGCTTTGCTCCGAAAAATGTCTTTCGTACACTAGCTCGTTCGCCAGTAAAGACCGACGTAGAAACGTGGCTTGCCCCCTCTCTTACAATTACATTTCAACTTTATTTTCTTGCCTATTTTTGCACATACGAAGATACACTTTAAAACACTTTCAATGTATTTTTTAATTCTACACAACTTTTGTTTAAAACTTTTTTCGATTTAATGCCTAGATTCTAAGAGACGGCCGTTTTCTACTCTTTTTTACTCTTTTTTACCCTTTTTCTCAAAGATCTCTTGATCCAATTGCAAATAAATTAGCACCATACGATTCAGCGTCGTCGAGTTACTATTATATCAAGTTTTTTGCCAGTTACCACAATTAGCTCAGTTTTTATTTAATTGAGCATTTTAACCGGCAGATGAAGTCGCCTGCCTATAGGCGACGCTCGTACACACAGGACGGCGCGCGGACGTCGCCTATAGACGACGCTCGTAGTGAAAGGGTTAAGACGATGCGGAATATTCAAATGAGGATCGTAGGAACCGTGTATATAATATTATATGTAAATATTGCATATAGTTTGCATTCTATTTCAAATGGTACAGGGTTTCTCAAAGTATAGCTATTGTATAGTGACCCTATACAAGAATGTTGTTAAAATTTGAGCCAACAAAATTCTCGAATAGGGGCAAATTGAAAATTCCCATTGGGCAATTATTACGCGGACGGAAAAGATAATATGGTTAAATAGGGGGAGAGGTTGGCAAGTGGAAAACAAAGTTTTAGAAGCCCTGGGGATTAGAATACAAATTAGTTCAAAGTAAGTAAATCATTTTCAAAGAATTATTTGTTGGTATTATTATTATTATTATTATTATTATTATTGTTTTATAGAATAGTTCTGGGTATCGTGAAATCAATTGAATTTTTAATTCTCTACGCACTGTGCTCGTATTTTACAAAGGGAAATAAAAAAAAAAGAATTATTGGACTTCGACGAAAATTATTCACGAAAAGTTCATGATATTATATACAACGATTTATCCTAAATTATCGTTCGAATAATTATTATTATTATATTTCGTAGAAAAGAAACGAAAAAACCGAAAAAGCTAATGTTTTTTGTGTCGCACTTTTTTAGTTCGAACGATTAGGAAGATTAATTGAGGCACGTTGGCGTTTAATTAAATAATATTTAAACAAACGATCTAATATAAGTGTGTTTGAACATTCCGAATTCGTTTAATAACGTTTATAATGAATTACATAGCTTTAAACAAAATCGCATCGATGAATGAATTACTGTTTAATTATAAGAACCAAAAAGAACAAACAAACAAACAAAAATATAACTCTCCTCGTTAATTAGATTTAATCCTTAACACATTTAACAGAAAAAAAAACCTTTCTTCTTCAAATTATTGATCGATTATTCAACGAAGTAGAGAATGGAAAGAAAAAAAAAAAACAAAGTAAAAATATAATACTAATAATAATATTAATATTTATTAATAATAATAATAGTGTGTTAATAACAAATTTGCATGAGATGAACAAAACTTCTTCGTTGAAGGGTTAACGAAAGAAAACGAAAGATGACAAAAAAAAATTACAAAAATACCGTAGAGAAAAAGAGAAGAAAAAAAAAAAAATATGAAAGAAATAATTTTACAAACTTCCTTCGCGAAAAGTAGATTATATCGTCTATTTTTTTTTTCTTTTTTTTTTTTCTTCTTTTATACGATTGTATGAAAATCTATTTCTTCTTCTATCATTCTATCACTCTCTCACTCTCTCACTTTCTATCTCTATTTCTCTCTTTCTCTCTCTCTCTCTCTCTCGCACTTTTTTTCGTCACAAATAACTTCTCTTTCTTATCAGAGAAATATAAAAAAATATTGCTAATCTTATATTTAGAACGGAAGCATAGATCGATGACGTACGCTTGGAAAAGAAATAAAAAAAAAAAAAAAAATTACATATATATATATATATAAAACAAAACAAAAAAAGCACCGATAGCTGGAGAGGATCAATAAAAAAAAATAGAAAATAAAATTAAAAAAAAAAGAAGGAAAAAACACACAAGCTTTCACACGCCGTACAACCAATGGTGCTTACTTAGCACACGACCAAGAGAATGGTGACCATAATACAAACGTTGTACATAAAAAAGAAAAGGATTAGTGAGATAACGAAATATAAAAATAAAAAATGGATAAATGGGAAAGAGAAGAAAGGATGATAGGAGGGGGGTTGGGTGGTGGTATAAGATAATGTGAAAAAAAAAAGAAAAAAAAAAAAAAAACTCGTGATTTAGTCGGACCTTATTAAGACCACGGGGGACCATAATACAAAAATGTGTGAATCTTAACGAATAGCTTACGGGAACTCGCGGACAG